TTGGGCGTTTTCAAACTAGTATGGCCATAGACACAGCTTCACAGTATCTCACCCAAGTACATTATCTGCACACAAGCCTTGAACTTCTAACTACTGGAGGTGGGAAGGGAACACTCGAGCAAAGCCGAATCCTCCCTTGCCTTTTGAGTGATTTGGTAGCAATAGAGAATCAAATATGGGCAATTTGGGGCTGAATGACTTTTTCCCACATTACCACATACATGTATTTCCATTATAACTACACAGATGCATTTCTAAGAGGATGTTCCTGATCACCATCCTGTGACTCAACGACCTTATCTTCCTGATCCTAATAAAGATTAATTAATGCACCCTGTTGACACCTCACCTGAGATAATCAAACTAGAAACTGCAGATTCTATTGCTCACTTGGTACAGACTGAGCAAGTCTTCACAGATTTTCTACTGTTTGTGGTGCTAGGCTGTTTCAAAAGTGACAATGATATTTTTGACATTTGTACAATGATATCAAAATCACAACACTTACTTCCCACTATAATTAAAGCAGCATAATTTATTATTTTAAAATGCTACATTCCTGAACTTATTTAGATTCTTCAACTCATGAGAAAAGGATGTGCAAGCCAGGATTTTGCCAAGTATGGAAAGTTTGAGTTACAAGAAAGGCTGGATAGGCTGGGGCTTTCATCACTGGAGCAAAGGAAGTTGAAAGGTGACTTTATAGAGGTTTACAAAATAATGAGGGCTATAGATAGAGTTAATGATAGTTGCCTTTTCCCTAGGATGAGGGATTTCAAGACTGGGGGAACAATTTTAAAAGGTGAGAGGAAAGAGATTTAAAAAGACATGGGGGCATTTTTTTTTGTTACACAGAGGGTGGTTCACATGTGGAATGAACTTCCTGAGGATGTGGGTACAATTACAAATGTTTAAAAGAAATCTGGATAAGTACGTGAACAGCAAAGGTTTGGAGGGATATGTGGGACTAGTTTAGTTTGAGATTATGTTCGGCATGGACTGGTTGGACCGAAGGATCTGTTTCTGTTCGCTATGACTCCACAACATTCACAAAAGACAGAGACAAAACTATTTATACCAAACACCTAGTCTAGAATTCAACTTTAAATATAGATATAAAAAGATGAAAATGTTTTTATGCAAGATTTCAGGACCAAATCAGATATAGACTTGTCAATAACAATGACAGTGATTTTTAACTAAATGCTTGATCGTTATTGCCAGGATACCATGACAATTTATCAGAAAAATTTGAGACCACACTCTGAAGTGCAATGAAAGTCACCACACTTCAAAAAGCATGCAACTGATATTGATACATCCTACCTCAATCACGTTAAGCAAAGAAGCAATTTGATGAGCAAGTGATAAAGTCACACCAAGTCTACTCCTACTGTGCAGCTCAAGGTTAAAATTTTCCCTTCAAGTGTGGTGAACTCAATAGCATAACACATGCTGATCAAGGGAACTGTGCAAATGTATTTAAATATTCGCAACATCACTAAGATCACTTAATTCCACCTTTGTAACACTGTCCGAAGACACCTACTTCACCTTAACTACTGCTAAAACTATCGTCTTTGCTTTGTTGCATTTGAATTTGACTTTTGCGTATATTCCTGTACTGCCTCACACATGATAAACTCTGCCCATATCTGAACTTGTACCAAGTCCCATTCATTCATCACCTGTGTTCAATGGCCAGCATTGGGTCAGGACTCAATATCTTGAAATGAAAATTCTCATCCTTGTTTCCAAATCCAATGATGGCGTTGCCCCTGCTTCTCTCTAAATCACCACCACCCTCAGTGCATTTCTGATACTGGTCTCTTTCAATACCATAAACTCTGTATAATTTTGTCCTTTAAAACTCACCACTACTCCATCCTGAACAATGTTCTTAAAGCTCCTACCATATATAGTTTTACATGGATCACAGTGCTAAATTACAATAGTACTCTAGTGAAGAACCCGGAGATGTTTTACCACCTTCAAGTCACTATGTGAATATTGTTGATGATTGCAATAAATTAGCAAAACATGCAGGAGGTACTTTTCACTTCTCAGAATGACATAACAATTAGATACAGGACAAGGTGAATTTTCAGTTATTTCAGCTGGGTAAGTAATTTTTATTACAAACAGTTCTGTTCTACAAGGTAAGGAATATTAGTTTCAACGTTTAAAGGAAAGCACTCTGGCAAGAAACTATCTTCATCAATAAGAGTTGCACATAGACAATTGAGTACTTTACTCTCCAAGCCATACCCAAGAGTACCAGAACAATCTGACGAAAACAAACTTATTCCAAAATAAGTCACGCAAACAATATTTGATTTGGGTTGTGATCATAGAATTTCTTTTCAGAATTCAAGTGAAGTGAATTGAGAAGATAAAACATGTAATGCTTCTAAGCCTAGCCAATAGGAAAACAAAGTTTGGAACTATGGAATTGTTTGATTTGACAGTCATAAAGGCAAAGAACATTTTCATGGCCACAACCAGACATAGGTTTATCATTTCCAATGTATTTGGTACCTTCTCACTCAACATAAATGACCCCCGATTAAACTGTTCAACACCAGTCTAATATTCTCTTTACTTTGGGTGGCATGGTAGCACAGTGGTTAGCATGCTGTCTCACAGCGACAAGGACCCGGGCTCCATTCCAGCCTAGGGTGACTGTGTATAGAGTTTGCAGATTCTCCGTGTCCATGGGGGTTTCTGCTGGGTGTTCTGGCTTCCTCCCACAGTCGAAAGATGTGCAGGTTAGGTGGATTGGCCATGCTAAATTG